ACACACTAGATGAGCCAAAGTTAAAAACATTGATAAGGTTCAGTGTGGGTGAGTATGAAGGAGAAAGTAAGTATCTCAAAAGAGGATTGCTGCTGAGAGTAAATTGTTACAATCACAACCTTTTGGAGAGCAATTGGGCATTATGTGTAAATCCAAATTTAAAATGGGTACTGCCATTAATACAGCAGTGCAATTTATAGGTCTTTATCTTTAAATAATCTGACAAGTATGTAGAAATAGACATACAAAGTTGAGCACAGCCAAAACAAAATTGGAAATAACCTAAATATCCAATAAGAAAGGTGTAATACTACAGCACAGTTTATCTGAATACATTGAAATAGTTATGTGGCACTACTATTATCAAAAGCAAAATAGATCCACAGTGCAATCCAGGTGTAATGAAAATAACAGCCTTCTATAAAGAGCACCAATGAGTAAGTCCATTTTTTATTGAAAAATATACGTTTGTAACTGGGCACGGTGGCTTGCACTATGCTCCGAGCTACTTGGTGTCTGAGACAGGAGAATCCCTTGAGCTTAGAAGTTCAAGACCAGTCTAGGCAACATAGTGAGAGTCTGCCTCAAAAAAAAATTTTTTTAAGTAAATACTTGTGAGTATGTGTATGTATTTCTTTAGATTGTGGTTGATTTTAATTTGCTTTGTCATGATTGCTGTGAAGATGGCTAATATCCAAATTCTACCTATACACAAAGGAAGTCACACAGAAAAAAAATATACTCAGTGTAATCAAAAAATACAGAGAATGTTGAAATTTACAATTTTTATTACAGTAAAAGATGCATTGCCATGAATACCCCTGCAAAACCCTCCCTCTTGCTTTGAACACACTTTTCCCATCATTCTCACTTTCTGAAGCAGCCCTGAAGTCCTCTTTCCTGAGTGTCTTTAGTTGTGCTGTCCTGGCTGCCTCAGTGTCCTGAATCCACTCAAAATGTTCACCTCTCACGGTCACTGTGATTCTGGGGAAGAGCCAGAGGTAACCGAGGGCCAGATCTGGTGAATGAGTTGGGTCAGAACACACTGCCATGTTTTGCAAATGACTGGGAATATTTTGAGGGGAGCTGATGGCAATGCATTTTTTTACTGTAATACATTTTTTAATTTAAATATGCACATTATTTTTCCATCACCCCTGTGTGTGGGTGGGAACCAAGAGCACATCCTGTCTCCAGCAGCACTGTGTCACGCTCGGGACGGTCCTGCCCTCCGAGCCAGGTGCCAGCGCAGTGCTTGAAACGGGCCCTGGGATCTTCTCTGACCGCCTCTCATCCTGACCACCGTGTGCCTTCCTTCCACGAATTGACTCATTCAATCAAATTACAGTCAAATCTTCTTGGCCTGGGAGGCATTCAATCTCCAGAAGACAATTTTGCATTTCTCCACAAGCCTCATTAAATATTTGAAAGTTTTAAATAGTTTCCATTTTTAAAAGTTTACCTCCCTGAAGATAATCTTTGTCCCTTTATTTCCAAATATCAGGTGTGAAAAAAAACGCTTCACTGTAATTTCCATGCATTACAACAAACTGTGCTAAATGAATGCAAATTATCTCACGGCTCACCTGCACCCTGATACCTATTGAAATTTCTGCCTCAGTAGTTTCTTGTTTGCCCCTGTTTAGCATGAAGGAGAGATTCCTAAGCTTCAGACTTCATAAAAACACTTGTGAAAGAGGAGGATTATAGGCAATGTGTTTTTTACTGCAATAAATTCTTTACTGCAATAAAATGTTTAGTTTAAACATTCACCGTGTATTTTAATCACCTCCTTGTACTTCACAACTGGCTTTGAATGGAGCAGGATGGAAGTGCTAGGTAGTATTTACAGATTCCCATGGTGTAAATGCTACAAACATTATTCATTTTAAGCTACTAACGTAACATCACCCAATAAGGAATTAGAGAAAGATGTACAGTTGCCTAACATTTCGAAGGATTTCTATAACACACACACAACAGATGAAATTTGAAGAGTAGAGATGCAAGTAAAGTATAGTCAAGTAATTAGAAAGTGGTGAACTTTGTGTATATGTTTTTTGGTTTTTTTTGTTTGATTTGTTTTTTTGTTTTTTTTTTTTTTTGGCACCGGGGATCGAACTCAGGTCCTTGTGCTTGCAAGGCAGGCGCCGGAACCACTGAGCTAAATCCCCAGCTGTGTGTATGTTTTTAAAAGTCTGGAAGAGTCGCTACTATGATAATACTCGTCATCTCTAGATGTACACTCATGAGTCATACTTATTTCACTCTTTAGACCCTTGTCATTTCAATGTTTTTATTTTTTAAAAACCTTATATTGTCTTTATAGTCAGAAACCAGGAAGATTAGAGTTCATTCATGTGAGCAATGTTTGTGTCAACTAAACCATGATGTCTTTGCTCAGTCGTGGTGTAAGGAAATGAATACCCAGGTCTCTAAGTCCTTTCAAAATAGCGGTATCAACTCAAAGGAATTTGAGCACATCTTCCTACACTTTACAGCTAAAGGAACTAAACTCCAAATAGGTATTTTCCCCAAAGTGAGTGTCACAGGGCAAGTATAAGGACACCCAATACCTCTCCATACATCCCTATAGAGAACAAATATGCATTTCTCTAGTCATGACTTAATGAGAAGAGATTATCTCCTTTTGTGTGTGCTTGGATTCATTCACTGGGCCAATTGTGGAGGCCCTGACTACACCCAGCTTTGTTTAGACAGCAGCAGCTCCTGCTCTTCCAAAAATATTAACTTCTCAAGATACTTCCACATAGATCCTCTCAGCTAAGAACCCTACAAGACAGGCAAAGTCACAAGGTAGTACCGTTTTACAGGTAGTAAAACTGAGGCTGAAGCCGGCTAGAAGCCACCGAGAGCCCACCTTCTGCCTGATCAATAGAGCTCTCTGAGGATCTCCTATTTGCCTGTAGGAAGCAACAATCAGATGAGTCTTCTCTGAAGGTCACTTTCTCCCCTTCTTGTCTTTGTCCTAACACCAAATTCTTTCTTCCTTTCATCGCTGCCTCCTTTTTCACTAAGCCATATGACTATCAGGTCACCTAGAGTAGCTATCACCTACTCAATCTTTTTCTGTATAAAAATGTGTGGAATAGAGGGCTAACCCATTTTCTGATCCCCCTTCTGTCTCTCTTAGACAGAAGCTACCTTTCTCGCAATAAATTTTTCCCATTCACAAAAGATGTGTGGGATAGATGTAACCTATCTCGCTAATTTTTGAAGTTTAACTGCTCTGGTTAAGAGAAAGAAGAGTTAGTGAAAAGGGGCACGGTGTCAGACACAGCACCAGGCAGGTAGCCAGGTTTCTGCAAGCAGAACAGGATGGGGAGCTATGAGCGCATACTAATGCTACACCTCTGCTGAAGCTACCTGACTTCTAGCAGAAAACAGCATTGCTTCCCACTGCAGAGGTCCATCCCATCAGGGCCCTCAGATGCATATAAAACGAGGCTGACACCCTGGTTTTCTGGTGGTGCTGTGGATAAACAACTAGCAAAATTGCTTTGTTGAGAGCTTTTTGTTAGGCTGGGGGAAAGGCAGTAGTTGCTCTAGAATAAAATATGTCTTCTGGAAAAGAGATGAATCCCAGGCATGATTCTCAATGATGCTTCCCAGAAAAATTGTGGAAGAACAGAAATGAGTAGATAGGAAAAGAGTGAGTGAGGACAAAACACCCCATTATAGGGGAAGGAACGCTTGCTTTCTGGTGTGAGTATTCAAGATGAGGATAGAACTTTCAACTTAATATCATGAGTAAGGCAATATATTTCTCTCTGGAGAACATTTCAGAGAAATAAGGATGACACCAAACATGGGAGCAGGAAGTCACTTCTGGTGACATCTATGTAGGGCCTGGGAAACAACTGTCACTTGGCAGTCAAGTCCAAAAGAAATAAAGGCTTGGTAAGGAAAGCTATCTGAGTTACAGTGCCTTTTATTTCTTTATAATTTTTTTTCAGCTTTTATAGAAGAAGGAATCTACTCTGGAAGGTCCCCCCAAAAAAGTTGTTGCTATAGGAACAGGTAAGCAGATTAGACTTGAAAGACCAGTTTTAGAAGAAAGAATTTAATAGGCAGGACTCGAGCAATTAACCAAGAAAACTCTTTAAGTCAATGTCTTTGGGGTTTGTTATTTTTATATTAATTCCAGAAAGATAAAAAAATTTCTATTATAGAATGAAAGCATCATGTTTTAACATTTTAATTACATCATTACTGGCATAAAAGATTATGCTTACACAATCAGCAGGAAGACCTTATTAAAAGAAGTACATATTTCTAACTCTCTCTCTTGATTACACTGTAATTGAGAAATATAACTTTAAATTCACTGAGAACATGAGAGTCACCTTTGATTTTCTTACACTGCCCACGATGAAAACACATTAAAAATAAAAGGCACAATGAACTATAGAAAGTTTGCTGTAACCAATTTCTATAACAAGGGAGCTACAAGTACAGCTCTAGAAGTAAAAAGAAATGTATGTAGGCTGATAACTGTGAATATTTTATGACTTCCTGTCCAGCAGTCTCAGCAAATAAGACCTGTGACAAGAGAAGAAGGTCAAAGACCCAGCCGGCTGCTACTTCACTACTGATGCTCTCTTCTTCCCGTCAGGGAGCCCCTCTCCGCACATGGGGGACCACGGATACGATTGGAAGTCTTGAACAGAACTTGCTGTACTGACGAAGCTCAGAAGGGAATTGCCAAGTGGACCTGGGTTTCTCTCCCTTTCTGTTTTACTTAAAAAGGAAGCAATTCTGGATAACATGAATGCAATAGTTTCATTCTCACAGATGTCTGCTATCAGAGGTTGCATTTGTGGGAGGGAGAGATTTCTTAGACGTTATCCCCCTTCTCATGTCATTACAGAGCCACAGGGTAGATGAACGTGTGAGTGTGTATCAGTGAGAGAGTGTGTGTCTCTCCGTCTCTGTCTGGGGAGAGGGAGTGTTAAGAGGGGACGTGGCTAGAATCTTACCATCTCGTTCTCTTGTCCTTCATTGAGCACAGCCTTCTGCTTGTCCCCCATGAAAAAGCGATGTCACTCCTCCTCTGCCCTCCTGAGCAGACTCTTGTAGGACAAACCCGCAGAGCCACTTCGGCTCCTGTGCCCCAACTGGCTAAAAGGATTAATGATCCTCCAGGTTAAACTCCTTCTCAAGCACACACCTTCTCTCAGCAAAGGACAATTACGGAGGAGCACACAGAACTCCTCCCACGAGTCACCCTGGCTAGGAGGAATTTCTGGCTGTTCCTTGCTTACTGCATTGTCTCAGAGCAGCTGTCTCAAAGGAGGCTGCTCCCATGCCAATCTTTTTGTGCCCAACTCACAGCGAAAGAACTCACTGCCTGCCCAGTGTCTGCCAGCCTCAGACATCTGACTGCAAAGCCAGCGGGGTAATGCAGAGTTGGCAAGACTCTTCCAAGGAGCGGGTGCAAGAACTCCCAGGTCGCTGCCTTATTCCCAGGAGCTGTGGAACTGGGGCACAGGGGAGGCTGGCAGATCAGCAGATTTAATTTGCTTCATCAAAGCCCCCATCCATAGGTTTTTCATAGTACCCCCATTCATTTTGTTTACACCAGGTACAAATTATCACTAATCCTCTTCCAAAGATATTTGTAATCGCATTTCTTTGTGCACACAGAAAACACTCTACTTAACATGTATCTGGAACTAAGTTGATTTAAAAAAAACACATACAGGTGGAAAAAGTAGAGGGTTAAGCAATCTATTCTATGTAGTCTCTTGACTTTAAATATTGGAGGTTAAACCTCTTCAAGATCTTTAGAAATGAAATGTCCAAGTGGCTGAACAAAAAGACTAATTTTTAAGTCAGTAAACATTGAGTACAAGAAGCCACATTAATAAGTCAAGTGTATTTGCCACCTTCAGAGTAACGGAGGGATTCAAACATACAAACAAGTATGACGGAAGGTGGTTCTTGTTCTTAGAGCCAGAACATAAGTCTAAAATGATGGCAGAAATCATGATACAATGTAGTGAAGCACAAACCAACCTTGGCTCTCAAAACACACCTGAATTCCAGCTGATCCTCTGTGCTGGTCTTGGAGTGATCATTTAAAAAGAGGAATCGGTGCTCTCCTCTGGTGGCGTCTGGCAGCAAAGTGGAGGGAATGGTACTAGAGGCTTGTGAGGGCTGACCAGTGATGTGCTCTGAATTTGGAGAGCTTGAGTTCAAAGTTGGCCTTTATTAGCTGGCACTTATGCCACCTTGGGATCTAGTAAGTTACATGAACTCCATACACTTCTACCTGGTCATCTGTAAAATAAAGCCCACAATAACAGAACTTTCCTCCTAAAACTGCATTTCCAGGTATATTGCTTGGGAAATAGCAGTTGTTCAGTAACCGATACTAATTTTATTTTCTGTGTCTACTCACTATCCTTCAAGGTTCCTGACTGTTGGCCCTGATCTCTGCAACACACAAGTGTGTGTGTGTGTGTGTGTGTGTGTGTGCGCGCGCATGTGTGTGTTTAAAACCCTGATCAAATGGTGCAATATAAGATAAACACCAAAAAAAATGTAAACTAAGCAAACTCATTGTAATATTAATTACTATAATATGTACATATACAGTTCTATAAGTTTCTAAAAATTATAAGCACAATTTAACCAAATAATAAAAATAAAAGTAACATTAGCATTTTATCACAAGGTCAAGGTATGAGGAGTACAGAGTTTCCTTTTGGGGATGGTGAGCATTATGTAAAATTAGCAATCCGTATCACAGCTTTGTGAATGTACTAGAATTCACTGCATTGTAGACCTTAAAACAGTAGATGTTTGTGGAAATAAAATTTGCATTTTTATGTGAAAATTATGCCTCAAGAAAGTAAATGAACATTTTACAACCATTTAGTATATCTAGCAGAGAAAAAAATAAAACAAGTGGATTTTAAAACTTCATCTCAACTGTTTTTTGGGTTTTTTGTTTTGTTTTGTTTTTGGACTAGGGATTGAACTCGGGTCTTTGCGCTTCCAAGGCAGGCCACCGAACCACTGAGCTAAATCCCCGGCCTCAACTTTATTTGTTGTTTTTTTGTTTGTTTGTTTTGTTTTGTTTTGTTTCTTTGGAAACTTACTAGTTTTTGTTTGTTTGTTTGTTTGATACCGGGGATAGAACTTGGTCCTTGAGCTTGAGAGGCAGGCGGCGGAACCACTGAGCTAAATCCCCTCCCCTCATCTCAACTTTTGAGTGTTAGTGTACGAAGGGGATAAGACTACGTGAGCACCGGCGAGTAGGGAGGCGCACTGCATTGGCTCTCCACAGCTGGCCGCACCAGGGGGAGTCTCCTTCCGGTTTTGTCTCCTTCCGGTTCTGTCTCCTTCCAGTGCTGTGTCCTTCTGGCTGGGATCCTGAATGCACTTGGCCACTCACATGCCAATGTGAGGGAAGACAGGTGAGTAGGAGCTGGAGGAGAAATTGCGCACCAACTTTCCCCAGCAAAGGAATCCGACTGTACTGTCAATGGTATCTTTTTCTTTTTCTTTTTTTCATTAGTCCGTGTTTGCAGTACGTGATGTGTACGCTCCTGGTTCATTCCTCTTTCATCCCCTTTGCCTCCTCTTCCTCCTTCCTCCCTCCATCTCTTGATCGCTTCCCATCTGAGAAAGATCTATCACCCTACTTCTTATTATGTATCTTTTATTCTGCTCTTTCTTTATAATTTGGGTTTCTCATATAAGAGAAACCATGCAGTACTTAAGCTTGTGTATCTGACTTATTTCCTTTAATGCTATGGTTTCAAGAAATCAAATGATAACAAATGGTGACAAGGCTGCATCCTGTGAGAGCAGGAACGCTCCTACAGTGTTAGTGGGAATGTGAAGTCGTACAACCACTGTGGAAAGCAGTATGGCGATTCCCCAAAAACACTAAAATTAGAAATTCCCCCAAAACACTAAAACCCAGCTATTCCTCTTCTGGGTGTCTTCCCAAAAGAGTTAAAGACATCATGTTTGAGTGATTCACACACACACCGGTGTTTATAGCTGTACAGGTCATAATAGTTAAATCTTGAAAGCAGCCTATGTGCCCCTCAGCAGATGAATGGGTAACAAAAGTGTGGTATTTACACACAATGGAGCATTACTCTGCCATAAAGAAGGATAAACTCATGTCATGTGTTAATAATATTTAAGTCAAATGTGAGGTCATTGAAAGCTTTTGTGGAAAAAAAGTATATACGTGTAAGCATCCATAGAAAATCATGTTCCACAGCAGAATCCAAGAGAACAGAGAAATTTCCATAGCAAGCTTCCTCAGGTCCTTCGGGAGCTGCCATGACTCACAGCCACTCTTTATCTGCAGCCGCTGACTCATGGGCACAGCTCACCCTAGCGTATCTCGACCCAGGGCAAGATCTGTGAGAGAGCAAAGTGAGTGCCCTGGCACATCTTCGGCAGTATTCCAAGCACTCTGCACACGGCTTTGCGCTCGGCCCCAGGAAGGGCATCCCCACTTGGAAGACAAGGAAACGCAGGAGCAGAACATGAGCCATGTGCCTAAATTTAGGTGATTAACCAGTGACAGGCTCTGCGTGTGAGCAGTGTGAGACCAAAACTGCCTCCTTGTGGAGAATTTACGAAAGACCCTGAAAACACACACAAAAGCTATAGTAGATGGAGCTGCGGGGCCCACTCAGAGAGGGAGGCCTGGGGAAGCAGCTTTTGAAGCAAGGCAGCCTCGGCAGGCTTGGGAAGGTGAAACTCAGAGCTGGTTATGAGTTGGTGCCTCACCACTGATGCAGAGGGGGGCATCTGAGCACAGAGCAGGACAGAACAGATGTGGATTCATTATGGTCTGATGCTAATCTTACTCTGCTGACCAGTTCCATTCCTTCGTTCAGTTAACATGTATTGGATTACCTTCGGTGTACTAAGACTTGTAGGAGATGAAGAATAGAGATTCGTAAAGAATGGCCTGGAAGAGGTAACTGTGGTGTGAAAGCAAGACTAACACCACAATATAAATTCCAACACATATGCTAATTCCACAGAAGGAACAGGAGAAACTCGGGAAAAATCTTGGAAATGGAAGCTTTGTGGAGATAAGGATTTGATTCTCTGCTGGCCTGGAGAACTGGAGATGGAAAGAAAAAGCATTATTGACCAAGGAGATAGAGACCCAGAAGCCCACTCAGAGACTCTATGTTATACACATGTAACACTCAGTTAGAAGGGAGAGTAATGTCCAAGAGGAAAGGTTGCTTCAGCCTTTCTCTGATTCTCTCTCTGCACTCATTTCTTCTCAAATACTCTAACCAAAGATCTGAGCAGGGAAGAGAGGGAATAATTAGCTATCTTTTTGCTGATCTGGTACGTCTTACATTCGTGTATCCCAAGAGCAGGTGTGCTACTGTGCTCCACCCCTGCAGGTCTCTAATAGATGTGAAGTACAAATAATGGCAGGACTGGTTTCTCTGCCAGATAGGATATTTCGCTTGCCCGGCCCATTTAGATGCGGTAAAGATTAGTGGTCACAATGTTTCATCACATATTAATTGCTATCTTTCATCTGAGAACTCCACAGCATACTACAAAAATTATTTCTTGCAACACCTCCGTGAAGTCACGAGGTGAGTAACATTATTGCCCCTATTTGAAACCTGTAGGAATTGACTCATGAAAAGGTCACAAAGAACTGTTCAAGGTCACGGGTCCTTAGCATGGAGTGTAGTGTTTCTGCCTTGTCACCCTTGGCAAAGAGCTGTTTTAAGCCTCCTCTTCAGCCTTCATTACACAAATCTGTTTATGTGTTGTGCGCTCAGGGCTTTCAGTGACAGGATGTTATCTAAACTCCAAGTTTTACTGTTGGTATCATGAATTACCCTAATCCAAGCTAAGAGTTTGGGGACCATACTATAGCAAGCAAGGATGTGAGTCCCAAAGAAGAATTACCTGCCTCAAGGTAGCGAGGAGAAATTTAATTGAATTAATTGATGTTTTTAAAACATCTAGCAACTCGTGGATTAAAGGGTATCAGACAACAATATAAGGGCTTCCCATTAATTACAAAAGAAAACAGTGGAATGTCTCTTCTCAAAAGAATTGTTCTCATCTACCTCGCTGTGCAAGGTGGCTGGGGTAGGTTATTATTCCATGTCCTGAAAAGCCCTTCTTACTTTTTGTTGTTTTCAAAAATAAAAAACAAAAATAAGAGTTCTTCTGTGAAGGAAAGCAGTTCCCATCCTGTGAGGCCTA